CAGGGGCCACCCCGGGAGAGGCCTATGGGGAGGGTCCTGTGAGAAGGTGGTGCTAAGCTACTACCCCTGCTCACCCGCGTGCTGTGTGGACAGTAACTCTTGCTGAAGATCATCACGCGGTTGTTTTCAATGAGGTCCTGGAGGCGGCGCCGCATCGCCTCCCGGGTCTCAACGATCGAGGTGCCCGTCCCCGGGGTCGCCAGGCGGGCCCGGCGCCCCGGAGGCGACGACACGAGCGCACCGCGGGCGCCGGCCGGGCGGCGGTTGGGGCCGGTGCCCACCTTCCCCCGACCTGGCGGCGTTGGCGACTGCGCCAGTGTGATGCAGTCGCCCAGCTGAGCTGGGTCCGTAAAAGAACAGAAAAACAGGCAGCAGCAGCTACACAGGGATGCGAAGGCCACCAACCTCTATCCCACCGCAGTGGCTAGCTCCGCCCCCAGCCCGTCTGTGCGCATGCGAATAAAGTTGCCGGCTCAGATTCTGCGCAGGCGCCAGCTGAAGTTGCACAAGCTTGAAGTTGCAGAGCTGCCAAGTTACTCCACGTGGTGTGTGGGTGTAGGGCTACCCGGGGACCCTGGATGCAGTCCAGGGGTGGTTTCTGTGCACAACATTCCACGCCTTAGAATTTCCATCAAGCCACCTTGTTGTTGGCTTTTGTTGTTGTTATGTGCCGTCGAGTCACCTGTGACTCATCGCAACCCTGTGTGCAATAGCTCTGAAGCCTGCCCTGTCCTGAGCCAGCCTCACTGACTCCGAAACACCTACCCCCATTGCCCTAGTCACTGTCAATCCATCTCATCCGGACTTTTCCTCTCCTGCCTTGCCTCTCCACCCTTCTGAGTATGCAGTCCCTCCTGGTCACATGCCCAAAGTATGTAAAACAGCTTCAAAATCCTAGCCTCCGTGGAGAAACTTGGTTTCACTTTCTCTAAAACAGACCTATTTGCTTTCTTGGTGGTCCATGGTATGATCAAGACTCCTCCAGGACCACAACTCAAAGGCATTAATTCTTCTTCTATTATTCTTAGTCATTATCCAGCTCTCTGATCATAACCTTAAAAACTATTTTTTTTTCCACTGAGGATGTTGTTGTGTACCAAAGAGTTGAAACTGATCTATAGCGGTCTTTCAGAGGCAGTAAATCACAGAGGAGATTGTCCATCTTTCCCCCATGAAGCAGCTTGTGGCCTCAAACCGTGTGACTTCGGGATTGCAGAGCAGATTCTTGCCACTAGGCCACCTTGTCAATATTATGAAGAACTTAAAAATTTCTAATCTTGCTTCAAATGACTCATAGCTCCAGAGTGTATAAATCAAATGAGAGGAGATTGCCCATTTTTCTTCTCACTAGTTGTTTATTGTTGTTGTGTGATGTCTAGTCTGAACTGACAAGTTGTTAACCCTCCAGCGGGTTTTCAGAGGCAGTTAACCACAAGGAAGAAGGTTGCCCATCTTTCTCCCACAGAGCAGCTTGTGCATTTGAACCTCATACTTTAGGATTGCTACCGCACCTCTCTACCATTAAACCACTAGTGTCATGTGTTTATTTTCCTTTGTGTATTTCTGTGTCTGGAGCAGTTTATGAATGATAATTGTGAATGTTAATTTACTTTGTGGCCTGTTGACTTGTAGTCCAGCAAACTCCCCTTACTTTTTATTAGAAGATTGGCCTAATTTCCACAAATACCCTTGGGTTTCTGTTTATTTTGAAATGTCCTAACTTTACTGTTATATTTTAAGAATATTTTTTTCTGGGTATGGAATTATTAGCTGGTTTGTTTGTTTGTTTGTTTCCTTTGAGAATTTTAGTCTTATTTTTCTTTCGGATTAGTCTTATTGCCCTTCTTTGTAGGTAACTTTCTTTTTTCTGAGCTGGTTTCTGAATTATTTCGTTGTCTTTAATTTAGGAAAATTCTATTATGATATGTCTTGGTATTTTTCTTTGGTGGTTTATTTTCATTAAGATTTGCTCAGCTTCTTGAATACATATTTTCTGTTTTCTGTATTTGAGAAGTTTTCTTCTAGGATACTTTAAATAACTTCCTCTGTGTGTTTGGCGTGTGTGTGTGTGTGTGTGTTTTCCTATTCTGGAATTCTTAATATTGTCTTGTATGATTCTTCTGGTTTCTTCATTTTCCCTCCTTCATTTAAGGGTTTGCCTTTTGCCTCCTTAAGGTTTGAATGTCAATGGAATTGATCTTAATGTTAATGGATGGTATTTGTATTAATACCTTTGTGTATATTCTAAGAAGACTGTACTAGGCAAGTTTCTGGACTACTGAAATCTTGTATCAATGAAGACTTTCCTGACCAGCTGTCAAAGAAAGCTTGTATCAAAGAAGAATTTAATCACACTGCTTCTTTATTTTGTAAAGATGCAAAAAAGAAAGGACAAAAGAACTGGAAACTTTTTGCCAACAAGTCAGAACCAAGTCAAAGCTGACTTCCAGCAGGTTTTCAGAGGCTATAAATAACAGAGAAGGTGATTGGCCACTTAGCTCCCTCAGAGAAACTGGTTGATTCAAACTGCCTGCCTTTGGGTTGGCAGCACAACTCCTTTACTACAAAGCCACCAAAGCTCCTGTATAAAGGAGCCATAAGATTCAACACTTTCATCAGGCAGGTCATAGAAAGGCAAAGCTTGTCCAGATTATTTTTTATATATATACTGATGAATTTGTAGCAGCCTTTGGACTGTGATCACAATCTCTTTAGCATTCCACCTTTCTTTTTCTATTTACTGTATATGCTAAACAAAATCTTTTTCTTTCCTACTGTAACCTGTGGGAAGCCAAATTTCACACTAAATATTTAAAATAAACCAAATGCTATATCAGGATATGAGAAAGGTACAATGCAATGCACCTTAAAGCACCAAGGCAGACTTTAAGCATTTTCACAATTCTTGTCTTGTATTTGCTATCCTGTCCATCCTGAGTCAAGCATGAGGCTTTCAATAAAAGAGCTTAGCTTCATTGGTATGAATTCTCTTTGTGATTTGTTCCCTGGCAATTTTCAATAAAGGCACGGGGAAGCTGGGTTTAATGCTTCAGTTGTTCCAACTGCTCACCCCCTGCTATACCTCTCTGTTTTCTTATACATTCTTGATGTTGTGTCTTGTTATTAATACCTTACCCTGGGTCAACAACAGTAACCATTGTAGTATCTTTTCCCACTAATAATATATATATTACTAATTATATATGTTGTTGTTGTTATGTGCC